ATCACTGAAGACTGGAAAACATCTCCCACCGACGGCACGTTGAAGCCATCATTACAACACTTGTCAAAACGCGATTAAGAAAGTCTACTGGATGTAAATCGTTGCTGAACTCAACAGGTGGCAATTACTGCCAAGAAAGCTTCTGACCTATTCCGGTGGAGACGACCCGCTCGTAGTGATACGGGTTGACGCAGACGGCGTCCGCCTTCAGGTCGAAGGCCAGCTGACAGAACTTGGCATTCTTCAGCTCGTTTTTGTGTAGGTCGGGCCAGCGCCAGATCTTGGCGTACACCACGTGTGGGAACCCTTTCCTTCCAGCGACCTGGGAGGCAAAACAAGGTACGTCAACTTCAGGATCGTCGTCCAGACCGTGCGTCGTCTAAACTTAAAGCGTGCGAATAACGGGGATCCCAACGGTATGATATTACAAAAAAACACATGAAAGGCAATGGGACAGCAAATGGCCCAGCAAAGCGTACATCGTACGTCCAGCCGCACACAACAGTAGTTCATAATCACGAAAAACACATACGGATAATCCCGTCAAACAAAGCCATGCCACGAAAACATTGCAACGAAGTAAAAAACACGTCTATCCACACGTTGGTCTGGTCCATGGGCAGGGCTGAGCGGCAGAACTCTGAGAGTGCCTCGGCATCCGGAGGCCGATCTCGACAGGCATCGGCCGTGCCACGCGAGCCTCCAGGCGGCCAGGTCCCGCGTCCCTGACCTGCAGCCGGCCATCGAGCGTGCGCGGGATGGTGACACACTTGCTCGGGTGCGCCCCGTTGGTGGTGATGGCCGTGATCAGCGAGTCCAGCTCATCGCGCTTCTCCTGTGGACGCCAACGGACGGTATGTGGGCACGCTGCAATCTCCGCCGGTGTATTTGACAAGGGCGTGCACCTTTAGTACATAAAATACAATTGTGGAACACTTCACAAATCTGACAAGCCAAGAGCCACCTCCCCACACTTTTACTACACCAGTTTGCAGACCCAAGTTAATGATCGAGTGACAGTGCGGTCATTCAAAATCCCCATTACATCCGTCTCAGAACGGCACAACTTCGTCACTCTTTCAGTATGCTGTAGCTGAGTGTTGGCAGAGGCTGTTCCTACAAAAGCCTGCAACGCAACCGAAAGATTCGAAGTTCCGGACGGCATAGAATGTCTGAGCTATGACACTTTCTAGGAACATCACTACATCTTGAGTAAAAACTAAATACACTACAGGTCATAACATGTCCTATAGAACACAAGCACGCACGCACGCACGCACGCACGCACGCACGCACGCACGCACGCACACACCCACACACAAAAATTTGACCAGTAGACACCTCTCTCATCTGATTGTGAAAACACCAGAAACATGCCCGATTCCAGCCCAGAAACTTTTCCCGAGAGCCCGCACCCATCCCTGCTACGATGTCGTCCGCAATTAGGCGCGTTACCTTCAGCTTTTTGACGAGGCTCTCAATGGCCTTCCTGGCGAACTCCTCGGACTCGCCGCCTTGACGGTGGCACATGAGACTGTGCACTATGCTGAGGCAGGCGTCCGTGGACGTCGGCGACGGGCTCGGCAGTGTCGGGTTCATCATCTCGTTCATCTAGACACAGAAAGGAGCACCTCCGCTGTAGCCACCACAGTCACAAGCTGCAGAAGTCCATAACATATGGGCTGGTGATCATGAATTTTTTCATTAGTGTGCGAGAATGATTTTCAGCTTTCTTTGAGGTCTTGGCAATAACTGCATACCTGTCAAAAATGGAGCTGACCCAACTTCAGACATTGACAAGATTGGGCACTGTATGTGATTCCAATGATGGGGTTTCTGGCCATGGATAATGAATTCATGGATCCTTGTTTATCTTACTCTGTCCAATGAACAACTGATGCACAGCATGAGTGGATATATACAATGGATTTGGTGACATCAGTGGTTTTGTGACCAAGCACAAAACAGAAACATTCCGGACCACATACACAGGTTAGAGCTAATCATTAAAAAACAATAATAAAAATTTACATTTGTCAGAACAGTTTGGTCTGCCCATCCGACTGTAACTCATAACTGCTGCAAAATACAAAGATAGGGGCATAATGGCTGAGTGGCTGGCACATTTGGCTTTCATATGCAGGGACCAGGTTTGAATCCTGGGTCATGGGATGTGCTAATAGCTGGAGCATTCAAATGACCTCTGGGTTGCTGGTGCTCCATACAAGGCTGTGCCATGATTCTGTTGAGACCCCTTCACAAAATGAATGCAAAGCCAAATGAAGACATTGTACAGGATATTTTCTTGCTGCAGTTAAATTGCATGTCACTTCTGTTCCCTACTTGTTTATTCATTATCAGTTTAGCTGTCAGCATCCCTGACCTGGTTTGAGCTGCATTATTTCAGGAAGGCAGAATGTTTGAATAAACAGCTGCATGCAGCAATTTCAGTCATGAAAGGCCAGTTGGCAAATGGTCAGTGTGCCAGTTGGACAGCTTGGGAGAGTCAGGGAAATGTAAAACACACAACCACTCAAAACACTCAAAGTGTGGTTTGACTTGTGACTGATGTCTGATGACTAACATGTGTTGTAACATCAAAATGTCAAAGTACATTTTTCCAAGTTGTTCCCAGAGATCCAAAGCAGGGAATTTCTCAGGGGGACAATGTGAAAGGAAACAGGGACAATGTGAAGAAAAAAGATGCATGAAGCAACAGTTCACAGAAATTAGCTTACAGGCAAAATGGTTTTAGTACATATTGTAATAGTCCACAGGCTTGGCAGCACACAAGTTTTCACATTTTTACAAGCATAGTGACAATTACAAAATTCACAGAAATACTTTCTCCTAGTTTCCAGAGCTTAGCACAAAAAAACATGCTGGAGGAGAGGCATCCAATATTAAGTACTTCCCTTTAATAACATCCATTTTGTACCCAGGGAAATTATCAATTTCAAAGCAAGTCACTGTGCTGGCTGAGAATAGTCTGATGTGAAAGTAGGAACCCTCATAGCTTGTCTAGGTATAGACAGATTTGGTGAACATTGCAGAAGAGTCTCATTACATATTACATGCATACTTGCTGGTTTTACTTAACTTCTAGGAATTCTATAGTGTCATAGTTTGCATTTTTATGCCTTTGAAACAAGCATTCTGACAGTGCCTAGCAAGAATGGCAAAATACTAGAGAAAACAACTCATTGCTTCAGAGTATTGCCATCCATGACATAGAATGTTTTCAAGTTGTCTATGTGTGTTACAGACTTGCCTTGCCCATAATCACACTGATCCATTTTATGCTGGCTGCTTTTGCCAGTTCAATTGCACCAAATCAAAGAGCTGAGCTGCACTTAGGACCACACCATACACAGTGATGGTGCAGATCTGGAAGGAATATGTGAATTTTGTGATCCTGATCCTCATGCAGACATTTTTTGAAGGCTTCATTACTTCAAATCACAGCAACAAATTGCCAGATTTACAGCCTGTTATCATTTATACATAGGCAAACAATGTGCCAGCCAGCTGTTAAGCATTATGCTGAGCTGTGATTTATCATTAATTTCTTTTTAAGCTAGCATCAAGGGTTGCAACAATTTCACAACCTTATCTCATCTCAAAAATGTGTGGTGCTGCCCCTTATGTCAGGTGCAGTAGCAACATCACAACAAAAGTTTTAGAGCATAGTGATGTAGTTTCAGGCACACACCACAAAACTTTCAAAGATCATTTGAAAATTCAGCACAGCTTGGCCTGGCCTGAGTTGACAAACAAGAGCAGAAGGGCTAGTTCACCAATGTCATTCAATCTCCCACATAAGGGATTATTTATTTGCAGACTGGACAGCCAACACCCTGCAGGCCAGGTAACATCACATGACTCACACAGAAGGATGGATGGGTAACTAAGCACACAGTCAATCCTCACTCAAAATGGATGTTAGCAGACTGGGAGACACAAATTCCAATTAACTCTAGGGTAGTTTGAAGCATTGCATTGCCAAATAAGTGTGTATTCACAACCTGGAATGTTCTGAATTACAGCCAGTCAATACCTTGCCCACAGCAATGTACGACACCATTTAAGTCATGATTCCTGAGGATTATGATACCTGAGCAGCCATGTGCAGAGCTAGGATTTGATTTCAAGCTTATCTTCTGCGGAAACAAAATATTATCACTAGCTGCTTAGATTCTAGCAGCATGTGGACGGTTTATCATGCAGAGGACCAGCAAATTACTGTTCAGACGTTGTCATACCCTTACTTTCAATGATGGTGAAGAAGGAGGAACATCTGAATGCAGCTTTTGCAGCTTGACAAAGTGTAATTGGCACTAAAACAATTGTGAATCTGCAATATCGTTACGAAAGGTACGTGTTTCGACGCGAAGTGTGTGACGCAGTTGTTCATAGACATAAGCGACAAGGAGTTACGCTAAACGTTGGATAGCCTTGCACTAAACCCGCTAAACGGGGTAAGATCGCCATCTCAATATGACGTCATTTGGGTCTTGACAGGCCATTCAAACGAGCAAAGTTTGCTTGAAGCAGGGTTCAAGAGGGTCCTAGCGGCGCAGGTCATCCTTTGTGTTCGATGGTTTGCCGTTTGAGTGCAGATCGCTGAAATCAGTTCTGCGACCAGCCTTTAGTTCACTAGGAAGTGCCATTTTTCGTCAAGTAAATATCCGCAAAAGTTATGATTCGTTATAAGTCGTGATTCTTCATGCTTTCTGCTAATGGACAACTTTATCCCGATTCTGGAGTGTCTCATGTTTCACTGAAAGCTACATTCACGGAGTAAGTTAGGATGAGTGTAAACGTGCATAGGTGCAGGAGAAGATATATGAGAAGGAGCAACTTAAGTTTTAGGAGAAGAGGAGGCTTACGTTAGAATAGGTGGTGTTAGGGCGCTCGCGTAGCTTATGTGCCTGGTTTGAGTGACGTCACTTGTAATTTTAAACGCACATTTACATTATTCTCACCCTTGACTTCACACGTGAGGTGGTTGCAGCCGATTGGCGCGAATCGTGGGGGTGTATTTCGTGCAGTTTTCATTCGGCATTATTGGGGGAACGTCATTTTATGGCTATCTAAGCATCGTGAGTATGTTTCCATGATCATTTAAGCGTTTTTTAGCCCCTTGCATGAAGAATTAACGCTGTGGGGTATTCATCTTGATATCGCCGGCGGAGGCCTGGGACCAGATCTTTCACTTTCTCAAATCGTGTGGGGGCTTAGCCAATAAGTTGACCTTATCTGCCCTCAAATCCTAAGTTCTCCCTGGATTTTGGCCACTTTGATGTGTGACGTTGATGACAGAGTTGAAATGTAAAAAATGAATTGGCCAGATTCAAAATTGTTCTGATGTTTTGTAATGACTTCCAATTTGAAGCTGATGCGACAGTGATAATGAGCATATATAATGATGGTGATATGGATAGTAGTGTGTTTAGGTACCTAGTGTTCTAGCAGTCCAGGCACTTGCTGAGTTGCATCATTCCAGCAATCCCTTTTTGCACATATGCATTGAAGTGCAGCATTCAGAAGAGTGCAGGGGGCTCAAGTCAATATTGAAGGGCTCAGGCCTTTCTGAACTTACTCAAAGTGACACCCTTGTCTGACACTACTAAGAACAGTGTGAATGAACTGAATTAAGTGTTATTTATTAACAAGATAAAATGTGTTTCGTTACACCATGTAACCATGTAACCATTTTAGGAAGTGGCTGGAATCATAGCCAAATCTCTGCCAGCCAGTCTGCAAAAGATGCTAGACCAGTTAAGCTGTTTGGTGCAGGCCTAACACTGCCCAAAAAGGGCACCTAAGCTGTCTACTGGATCATACAGCTGGGGTTGTTGTTCTCATGACCTGGGTGTCCCAGATTTTTTCTGATTCTGATGATCTGACGAAAAATGCTGATATTTGTTGTATTTACTAATCACTAAGTACCCCCTCCTCACTGCTCAGTGTGCAGGCACTTGGCATGTGGATGATATGGTCCATCTAACAGGCACTGAAAATGTGAACCACATCAGGGATCTGCTGATCAGAGGAATAATGTCTAAGTTGTAAGATGAAAAAGCCACATGATGCACAGTTGAAGGCCCATCAGCTAGAATGACTTATGTGTAGTGATAAACTTTTTAAAAAGACATGCTTTGTTCATGTAGAAGCAGGTGTATGCACCAAGAGGACCCATTGTAAAGCTGTATATTGTGCTGAACAGCATCTTGTACAAAGCTGTCTTCTACTGAAAAAGGACAAATTCCAAGGATTAATTTGTGCCCTCTGAAGGTAAACAGACATCGGAACAAACAAGACATTGTGTCAATGCAGTTTGGCACCAATCCACCTCAGCATTTTCCATACATCATAGGTCATTCTGAGGCCAATGTTCATCTAATATTATCCTGAATGTGCATGTATTGTACCCTTCATGAACCTGGATGCAGCATTTAGAAATGTTATGCATCTGCTCAGCAATGTAAACTGTGGTAGTGTGCAGACTATAGATGTATGTAGGTCTAGATGCAGTCAGTGACCATACTGGTGGTCACTTCAAACAGATGCAGTATACTAGGTGACTGGGGTGGGGCCAGTTCATGCTATATGTTTAGCAGAATTGAGCTGTTGTAGCCTCAAAACCATTGCAGATCTGTGACACCCAGTCTGAGGTTGTGAGATCAAGTTTCCTGATTTCAGTTAAAAAAACAACAAAATTATGCCTCTGTTTTGAGGTGTTACTAGCCATCTGGAAGAGATGAGTCCACACAGAGCTAGCAATCTTGAAGTGAGTCACTGACAGATGTATTTCTGTGGTATTTTGGTTAAAGTTTTAAACTAAAAATTATGTGAAAGATGCCACTTTATTGCATGACATATCATTTGCACTACAAATGTGACTACCATTCAGTGGTGAATATTGTATAGGAAGCTTTTTCTGTTTGTGTTGTATAACAAACTTGCTGTTTCAGATGGATATCAGACCCAACCAAACAATTTACATCAACAACTTAAATGAGCGAGTGAAGAAGCCAGGTGAGACATAACCATCAAACAGTGATTATGCATTCCTCATAATGCACTGAAAGATGAGTATTGTGTTTGCCACTGTATTTCTGGCTAAAACCTGGTATGTAACAGGTTTGTAAAGTGGCATGGAAGATGGCTGTGTGTGGTTGTATGTGATGAAGTGGTTAGATGGGGTATGTAAAGTGTAACATGCAGCACCAAAATAGAACATCAAAATAGTGTCTTGAATTAACTTACCCTCAAAAAAGACAGCAATGATGCCATACTGTCAGTCCCCAGTACTGACATCAGGAGCACTTCAATGGCAGTACAGTGTGGCAAGAATTGTACTCAGATGTTAGAGTGTTGTTTTTTAAATATGTGCTTGATTTTTTTGAACTTGATTTAAGTTGCTGTTTTCATCTGTGGAGATCATTGACTTGAACTGTTAGGTCTTTGTAGGTAAGCTGCAAACCTAAACTTAGTATGTTGTGTGTTATGTGATGTGTTTTGCATATTGACGAAAGGCACGTTTGTGTTTTTTTTTTTCTGTTTCAGAACTGAAGCACTCCCTCTATTGCCTCTTTTCTCAGTATGGGCCGATTCTGGATATTGTGGCACTCAAGACACCAAAGATGCGGGGCCAGGCTTTCATCGCATTTAAGGAGATTGGGAATGCCACCAATGCATTGAGATCGATGCAAGGATTCCCATTCTATGATAAGCCCATGGTGAGAAGCACAAACTGTACTATCAGTGACCAGTCAGAGTGTTGTGTGGTTGTTTCTTCAGAATTGTCATGCTGGTTATCTGCGCGCTGCAATCACACGGATGCCTCTTTGTCCTATATCCTTGGAGGGGGACTGGAATAACCCAATAATATAACAAATATTTCACTTAACCCAAAGTGCAATCAAACAGCGGGGCCATCAGAATCACTGAGATCGCGTCGTCCACCTTCAGTTTACTAACTGGTCAGAAAGGCCGCCATGTGTCGCCATCCACCCAATCGGTCTTGCGAGCCCCGCCTCTGTTCGGCCTTGACCCGACACTCGTCCTTCGGCCTGCGCAGCGGATCCCGAGCCCACTTCTGTTCGGCCTTGATCTGACACTCGTCCTTCGGCCTGCGCAGCGGATCCCGAGCCCCACTTCTGTTCGGCCTTGATCTGACACTCGTCCTTCGGCCTGCGCAGCGGATCCCGAGCCCCGTCTCTGTTCGGCTTGATCTGACACTTGTCCGCCGGCCTGCGCAGCGGATCCCGAGCCCCGTCTCTGTTCGGCTTGATCTGACACTCGTCCGTCGGCCTGCGCGGCGGATCCCGAGCCCCGGCTCTGTTCGGCTTGATCTGACACTCGTCCGTCGGCCTGCGCAGCGGATCCCGAGCCCCGTCTCTGTTCGGCTTGATCTGACACTCGTCCGTCGGCCTGCGCGGCGGATCCCGAGCCCCGTCTCTGTTCGGCTTGATCTGACACTCGTCCGTCGGCCTGCGCGGCGGATCCCGAGCCCCGGCTCTGTTCAGCCTTGATCTGACGCTCGTCCTTCGGCCTGCGCAGCGGATCCAGTACGGAAAATCCGAGTCCGACGCCGTGTCCAAGCTGAAGGGCACGTACCGCCAGGAGGGCGGCAAGCGCAAGGAGCCGGTCACCAAGAAGCCGAAGAAGACGAAGCCGGGTGCGGCGGCGGCGCCGGGCGCGCGCCCCGCGACGGCCGATGGTGACCAGGCGGACACGGCGCCCGGTCCCGAACAGCCGCCCAACCAGATCCTCTTCCTCACCAGCCTGCCCGAGGAGACCAACGAAATGATGCTGCAGATGCTGTTCAACCAGTGAGTGCCGCGGGTGGGCGTGGTGGCCGTGCCGAGCTCTAGCGCTGGTGGTGAGACGTGGATTGCGGAAGAGCTTGTGGGAGCTGATGGCTTAGCATGAATTGCCTGTGGCGTTTGGCGAATGTTTTTTTTTTCTGGGTATTTCGCGTACTGGACGAAGGTGCTGTTTGTTGTGACGTGCATCGTAGCTGACCAAAAGGCTGCCGAATCTTTGTCAGTTGTCAACCAGTACGGTTTGCAACTATGGCTATGTATTCACTAAACGTTACTTTGCTTCGCAGTCCCTCTGCTTCCTCCCCACCCCTTCTAACAATGCTCTGGGGATGCCGTTATGAGCTTAATATGACCATAGCGATCGGCGCGTTCAAAAACCCTTATCGCCACCATCACCAGACGATGTTCCGACGCAACGGTCCGTGCTCCGTCGACAGGTTTCCGGGCTTCAAAGAGGTGCGCCTGGTGCCGGGCCGGAGCGATATCGCTTTCGTCGAGTTTGACTCGGAACTGCAGTCGACGGCCGCTCGCTCCGCCCTGCAGGGCTTCAAGATCACACCCACCCATGCCATGCGCATCTCGTTCGCCAAGAAGTGAGCCGGCGGACGTGCGCGTGATAGCTTGATTGGGGGATTGACAGTGACGTCACACTGCCTGTGGCAGTCGGCGCCGCGCCGTCAGACTGACTTCATCGTCGCATTGTTCATCTCACGGTATGTAGACTGGCGTCGGGCGTGATGTTTTGTGGGCATCGTCAAAATTTGTATCCCCGTTGGCAGCGATTCACGAGAGGACCAACACTTTTTGAATTGTGCTCGGATTTTGTACACTGGTGGGACGGCGTTCGCCCAACGTTTGGTGCGATGAAACCACGTGTTTCGGTGTCGTTCTCAATGACAGCGCTCGTCGAACTCGCGTCTGTGGCTGAACGTCATCTGCCTGTTGGATGTATTGTACCGTAATAGATGTCGCCCATGGGGCGCAATCAATATTGGTACAATTCTGGACAAGACTTGATTTCAAACAAGCCCAATGAATACTTGTATTTCGCTCAGTTGTCTCAAGCATACAATAAATAACACATCGTATCAGAGTACCATGTAGCAATGTTGTCCGTTGGGCGAGCGTCCTCCCCTGTCCCTCACCCGGGCTGCTGTGACCCCAGCCATGCCGATCACCACCCGTGCTCTGCGTACTCGGCGGAGGTGAGCCCCGTATACGGTGGCGTGCTGAGACAGCCTCTGTTGAACCTGTTCGCAGCGCTGGTGATTGAGATAGTAAGTGGTATCGTTTGTCAGTTCGTCGACTCAGCCGTTAGAGCTTTTTGACGAGGTGACACCGGAGAAAGGGGCCGTGAGGAAAGGGGACAATCGGATGATAATCTTGGTGTACAGAGGCTTACGTTTAGCCATTCGGTGAAGACTGCATTCCTGGCAGAAAATCTTGCAGGGTAGAAGTAGGTTATGGGCGCCATATGGCTAACGTAGTTGGTGCGCCCCAAAGCCCAAATCATCGTCTTCTTACAGGTTAGTTTGATGGTCGCTCTGGTCGAAATGGAGGTTGGATTAGCTGCGTCGAGAGGTGTGAACGGGCTGAGCAAGCTGAGCGTTCGGCTCCTAACGTCACTCACAAAGGTTGACAAGAAGGCATGAGTCGCGGCTCCCCCCAGCCCTGCCGGAAGGTAGGCTGAAGATGCGCCTCACCCCAGCCGGGAGGCGAGCTGAAGACACGCCTCATCCCAGCCGGGAGGCGGGCTGAAGACGCGCCTCCCCCTGCCGGGAGTCGGGCTGAAGCCGCGCCTCACCCCTGCCGGGAGGTGGGCTGGAAGAGGCCGGCCAGCTCGGGCACGACGTCGCCGGCGCTGAGGCCGGCCGCCTGCGCCAGACTCAGCGTGGCCTTGGAGCTGACTGAGCCGCACACGTATGTGAAGCAGAACGGGTCGAAGAAAAGGCCGCACGCCGGCTGGTTGCAGTAGCTGTGGGCGGAAAGATGTACTCAGAAGGCGAGGCTGCTCAGAAGGCGGAACGAAATGCTCCACGGATGTAGGAAAAGAGTGGGAGGAGCTGGCTGTGCCTCGTAGATTGCGGAGCCCGGAAAGCGTATACACGCGGGACACCAGTGGCGCACTTAACTTGGCTCCGCCCACTGGTTCAGTTTTCAGTGCAGCGTAAACAAAAGATGATGATTGGAATGGTAAGGCCGCGCCGACGTCGGAGGTCATAAACGTAAACTAAAAATGGCAAATATGTAAATACTGTTTCTTGTGAAAGAGCGTACGCAAGATTCATAATAGGAGGAAGGAGATACATTTTGAGAGAAAAGAACTCCAAAAGCTAAGTATAGCGCGCCGCATGGGCGCACAATTCTCTACCACTCGTAGACAGTATCACCTTTTCTCGATCTACTTAATCTGACGTGTTTGGAGCGCCATGCTGCTCAGGGCCAGCCTGTCAGTCATGCTCCATGCGAGACGTCGTGACGCATCGGGCATGGAAACGGTCAACTACCAGACAGGACAGACGGTGATACTCCAGATGAGACATTGTCCGGTCGAACAGATCAGTCAGTAAGTTGGCAAACAGCAAAACAGCACGCCATGCAGAATGTTCACTGAATCGCCCGGCAAGGCAGACATCCGCCTTCTGTACGGTACCAACACGGACCAGCTGAACACGATAAACACTGGTCTGTCACGCAGAAGGAGCAGCATGGCCGTTCTAGCAGACACTGATCTGCCGGAGCGGGGTCCGCCACTGACCTGCCCGACAGACACTCGCGATCCTCCAGACAGCTGCCGCCGGACTTCTTGGCCGGAAAGCAGCGCCGTTGGCCATCCCCCAGGCCCGTGGTCGTGCAGTAGGTGTTGATGGGACAATCTTGGGGTCCCGCACAAACTGCCAACATCCCCGGGGGTCGTTAACCTCTCGCGATAGCGATGACGCCAGCTACCGTCTACTCGGCGCCTAACGCGTTACGTCGCACTTGGCGAACAGAGAGCATGACTCGAAGCAGGAATCCAAGATGGCGCGTACACCGACCCCGTTTGGGGTCTTCGTACCGGACATTGCAAAACCGGGTTGCAGACCAGCACGGCGCGCCGCTGCGGTTGCCTGCAATTCCACTTCCGCAGTAATGTTCGGACCACGGAAGGCGCTCCGAAGCTTACGAGGCGGTGTGGCGGGGCGGACAGAGGCGCGAGACCGCGGTACCGATAGCCGCGACGGGGTCAACGCTGACGGTAGAGAGTGGGCCTGGTCTGGTCACGTGTTGAGCTTGCCGGAACCAGGAAATGTGCGCATGGGTGAAACGACCGAACGCCACCATCGAAACCCGCCAGTCGTTACTGGACCAGGCTGGTACCCGTTCGTCGAGTCTGCCGGGCGCGGTGCCAGCACGGGATTCGCTAATGAAAGCGCTCCATCTTTCATGACAGCCTTGCAAGAACATGGCAACCAAGGCATGGCGCAACTGATCAGCGCCGCCGAGACACTGACCCAGAAACTTTCCGACGAGGTCCGTGCAGGCGTAACAGCTGGCGCCGCGTCGTGTCCCGCCGGTGGCGAGGTCCACATGCGACGACAGCGTCAGCAGCAACAGCGGCAGCAGTGGCAGCAGACCCATCTACGGACGGAGAAAGAGGGGCGTCAGCGCCCCTCGGTCGACACCCCCGCCAGCAGCGGTTTGATGCGAAGCTGGCCGCAGTGTGGGTGGGTAGCGCTTCATATTGGGTGTCGGTTGCTCTAGGTCAGCAGTGCGCCCATACCGCTCGCACGTCACGCCCTTGCCCTTCATCACCCACCGAAGCCTGTTAGCGCCACATTGGCGACGACTTGACAGATGGCACTCTATTTACGGGCATGTACGTGCAATGTAGATTATTGCGGTCTGAGCGAACCCTTGCAAGAATAGTTGTTACACCATGCAGGCATTCGTCGGGTGCACCTCTACAGTACGGAGGACGGTATTTCAATTCGCACGCCATGTGAGATGTGCAATTAGCATCGAATAGGCGTGGGCGTGGTAACGGATACATTCGCGCATAGCGTAGCGTGACGGCTCTGGAGCTGCGCGTGATGTTTGGAATTTCTTAACGCGGGCATTGATTAGACTCAGCTGCACATCTGAGCATGCTTATAACGCATTAACGCATTAAGCCTGTCAGCGGGACTGGATTACAGCGCCGTTCCAGCACCCATTTCCGACGCGCTGTGTGCGCCATTGATCACGCCAATGTGCCGTGGATTGCCTGGCCGTAGTATTCAATGTCCGTGTCTGTACAGAACACCCTCAAATGAATTGTTTATTCAAAAATCGAAACCTATGGTAATGACACTTTCGGGGTGCACACATCTGGTAGCTTGAATATAACGCTGTGAGCTGACCATAAAAGCGTGATATTCCTACGCATTTACCGGAACCAATCTGTCAGTCAACAAACGCACAGGAGTCCTTCCCATGCGACAAAGGGGAATCGAGCTCATCAGCAGCTGAAAGCCAACAAAGGTCCACAAAAGGCACTTGCACTCACCGCGACGGCGAAATGTGGGGTCACCGGACACGATGATAGCGCTCGTCACACTGCCGGCAGCGGCGGGGCCGTGTGACCTGACGCCGCGCGTTCTGCCGCCCGGTCCAGGACCGGATCTGCAAATGGGACAGCTTCAGGCATACCGATCCTTCCGGAGGGATGAGACCCACGGAATTTCACCACTCGGATATTGTAGCGGAGCCGGTTCGACCAACTGACCTCATTTGCTTTGCCGCTGATTGCTTTTATTTCATTGTATTTGAATGACACACACACACACACACGCACGCACGCACGCACGCACGCACGCACGCACGCACGCACACACACACACACACACACACACACACACACATATATATATATATATATATATATATATATATATATATATATATATATATATATATATATATATATAATATTCATATTGTATCTACAATATCGAGTGCATATGCTCGACGCAAGGTCGTCTCACTAACATGCTCGTGGTTGTTTTGCATCTGTAGGTCAATTAGGGGCTTAACGGACGTTATTCTTGGGATGCTACGATTACCACAGCGTCACCATTGCGGTTGGAAGCAACCGATGCGTTACCTCGGGCGATTGAAAATGACCAAAAATGGCTGCCGTTGCTTAGGGATAATTCCTTTAGTTACACACATACAGTTGACAAAAGCCCGCTTTTGGCCTGATGGGGCCAAATGGGACTTCCTCTTGGGCTGGTGGGGCTTCCTGTGTGATTGTTCCTGAAAAGGCATGCTTTATGGGGTTCTGCGCATGCGATGGGCCTCTTTCGGATCATTCCCTGCATCAAGGTGACCAAAAGAGCCCACCGTAAGGTATCGAGGGCCTTTTCTACAGTGGCAGATATGGTCTACCGTGTGTTTCCTTTGCATTCGATGGAACGCATCGTCTCCGCCATCCGGAATATTCCATCGGTGTGTTGGGTTCCCTGGAATTTTAGGAGGGGGGGGGGGCAGAATATGCTTCCTCTTAGAAAACGGGAAAGGGATTACTGCCGCTTGCCCCCTTCTCTCTGGTGGCACCACCTGAACGAGTAAGGCGCATTAATATCGTTGGATGGTGTGGTGTGGTATGATTGGAGCAATAACAGGCTTGATGGATAAATTTTCATCAGTTACGTGATACCAAACCTAAACTTATTCGCTCAGACGTCTTAAGCCAATAGTTCTAATCCATGTATTTCCTCATCTGTTATGTCTGTATATATTATACACAAATTGGTTGATTATGAGCCCGGTCCGTTCTGGCAATTGGTGTTGGCGAAATATGTAAATTTGCAATTAGCCAAAGTTTGACAACTGTGACCGGAACACTGCAAAAACGTACGCATTTGTAAAAATACTGGTTAAAAAAAGACCTCACGCACGTATTGTTTTCATAGCCAGAGATCGCTATTTAAAACATAGTGTATATTTTGCGTCATCGTCGTCACTGGGATGTTACGACGCACTCAGCTCTGCGGCTATATGGCGTCGCCTACCACTCTCCATGGCAGAAGGGGCGGGCGCCGCGGGGAATCGAACCCCGTACCTCCGGTT